ACATCGATTTACGTATCCAAATCTTTTTTTTTAAATCCCTTTTAAGGGGCATATGAGAAATGCGTAGTGTCTCTGCGGCACATATCTTTTTAGCTATTTGGGCAGTGCTTTTCTATCCCAAAACTAAAAGTGCAGCAAATGACGAAAATGCAACAGATTTCCCTCATTTTCCCTTTTAACGTATCTGTTCTTGTATGGAATACTGCGGCCATATATGGTCTGGTAACCACCGCTGTACATTTCGAGGTCCTCGACAAAATCCAGAGACGGATATGCAATGTGATGTGTCCTGATCTGGCATCTCGTCTACAGTCACTTTCTCACAGACGTGCCGTGGCTTCCCTCTGTCTCGTCTATAAGTATTTTCACGGTAACTGCTCCGACGAGCTACTTTCGCGGGTTACCGGACTGCATGAATTTAAGCGAGCTACTAGATTGGTATCTCTTTCCTACCTTTTCACTGTCGAAACGGTTAAATGTAGCTGTTTCTTATACTCAAACGGCTTCTTCGCTCGCACTTCCCGTCGGGGAAACTCCCTTCCTCTTACTTGTTAATCACCTGTGATCTTTATAGTACATTGAGTCGTTTCTTTGCGTTTGAGCAGAGAATCGAAGATAGAAATGAGGTCCATTTATTTTTCCCCGTTATATCGTAAGGTACCAAAACATCGTATCGATTCATGCATCCAAATCTTTTTTTTTAAATACCTTCCAACGCTCATATTAGAAATGTGGAGTATTTCTGCGATGTCCCGTGTGTTGTGATCTCGATTATTTTCATCAGCATTTTCATTTGGCCATCATCGGTAACCGGAAGAAACGGTTAAATGTAACCGTCTCTTCTACTCCAACAGCTTCTCCTCTTGCACTTCCCGTCGATGGAACTCCCTTCCTCTTACTGGCTTCCCTGATAGCTATAATCTTCAAATATTCAAGTGTAATGTCAATCGACATCTTCTGATGCCTAGATCTTGTTCCCCGTCCTTCTCTATATCCTTTACTTGCAGACACCCTCTTGACTCTTGCTCCGTAATTTGCTTGGGGTGAATTGCTTTAAAAAATCATTTAAGATCCATATTCCACACAGAAATCATATCGAACGTGTTTATTGGTATTTATATCTGGTCTAGCGTAGCTTTCCTGCGCCTTTTCTATAAATATTTTTCCTTTTCGGTGCCTAAGCTTCGGTAATTTAAGTGCTGTGCTAGATTGGCAGTTAGGTCTCACCAGTTTACTGTTGAAGTAATCATGCGTTCTATCCTAATAGTTTCTCTCGCACTTCTCGCTTGTGGAACTCTCTGCCAACTTCTTGTTTTCTGTCAACTACGATCTTCAGAAATGTAAATTCCTCATCAATCGTTATTTTCGGTCTTCTTAAATCCTGTTCGATTATTGTTATCACTCGTCTGTAATGTTGTTTTTGTTTTTTTTTTTTAATTCTTTCATTCTCAATAACCACTTGCGTTTTAGTGGCTTTATCTTCGTTCATTGGTATTAAGTCAATTATAAGGGCAAAGGTTGAATATCGTCGCTTAATGAAAACCTTCGAATATAACAGAAAAAATACACCCTGAAGTATTTTCTAACTGTTTGGGGTGGGGGGGTTATTTGATGGAATTTTTTCTTCGACGTGTTCTGAAAAGGGGTTTAAGTTAATTTGCAGTGTAACACACGCGCTCAGTCGCATTAAAAATTTCCAGAATACTTACGTTCGAATCTGACTTGATAAATTTGACTGGGATAGATAGATAGATAGATAGATAGATAGATAGATAGATAGATAGATAGATAGATAGAAACAGACTGAGATAGATAGATAAAAACAGACTGAGATAGATAGATAGATAGATAGATAGATAGATAGATAGATAGATAGATAGATAGATAGATAGATAAACAGACCGAGATAGATAGATAGATAGATAGATAGATAGATAATAGATAGATAGATAGATAGAAACAGACTGAGATAGATAGATAAAACAGACTGAGATAGATAGATAGATAGATAGATAGATAGATAGATAGATAGATAGATAGATAAACAGACTGAGATAGATAGATAGATAGATAGATAGATAGAAATAGATAGATGAGATAGATAGATAGATAGATAGATAGATAGATAGATGAAAAGATAGATAGATAGATAGATGAATAGGAATAGATAGATAGAAGATAGGATAGATAGATAGATAGATATAGATGATAGATAGATAGACTGATGAATAGAATAGATAGATAGATAGATAGATAGATAGAGATAGATAGATAGATAGATAGATAGATAGATAGAACAGACTGAGATAGATAGATAGATAGATAGATAGATAGATAGATAGATAGATAGATAGATAGATAGATAGATAGAATAGCCATATCTATATTTAGAAAATTGGCCTAAAAATTGAAATCTGCCTGATTTTTCAAATAATTTAAGAGCTCAATTCGACACATAGACTTTCTCTAAATAAATGGTTAGATGAATATATTCAATAATAATTATAATCAGAAATCAATGTATTAATACATAATTTTTTATTTACAATGATAGATATTTTTTTTGATATAAAATGGCTAATTATGTTAGATAATTTTTGGATTTTAAATTTTATTTAACACTATTTAGATTATTCAGAATATTGTCCTCATGGAAATAGATATATTTATTACAACGTTTATGCTTGTTGTATAGACAGGGAGTTTTCTTCAAGTTCTCCATTGCCTTAAAAACAATATATATATATATATATATATATATATATATATATATATATATATATATATATATATATATTATTAATGTATTTATATTCGGAAATATTTTCATTCATAGATAAGTTTCATTAAATAATATAGACAATTTTGGTGTCTATTTATTCTATAAACACTTCATCTATTATTTAATGATCGTATATATATAATATATATATATATATATATATATATATATATATATATATATATATATATATACATATAATTAGAAAATTTAAAAAGAGAGAACATGAAACAACTTACATTATGAAATTCTGTTAAATTCAAATATAACATTTTATGTATCTCCATTAATTTTTCGTGCATCTCGTAAGAAAGAAATTGTGTATATTTATTAAAAATAAAAACAAATTTAATTCCTATTTTGCTATTGAAGGGAAATCTATTCTATCCAATTCGTCCAAAGAAACACAGATGGTCTATAAAAGGCATCAACTTAACAGCTTTAAGTAAATTAAACTTCATATCTCGTCCATATTGCAAAAGGTTTTTCGTCTTAGAACGCACATTCTGATTGAATGGATTTTATTCATATTTTCAATTCTTGCTTAATTTTTCTATTGCTGTTTATTCCAGCCGACATATTTTTCCCACCTTTGTCATGAACCTTTTTTTTCCCCTTATTTTTTAAATTTCTAACTGCCAGGATTTTAAATATAAAATAAATTTCATATCTTGGATATTTTCTAATTTAAAATATATAAATAAATATCTCTCTCTCTCTCATCTCGTCAGTCTCTCTCATAAGCAATAAATAAAAAATTATTAACGTCTCCCTTATTGCTCTTTCCCATTGCTCTCCTTTTTGAACAAATCTCATTGCTCCTTTTCTCTCGGAATTGCTCTCCTTTTCTCTCTCTCCCATTATTTTCTTTTTTCTCTCTAAACCATAAATTGCTGAAATTTCTCTCTCTGTCATTGTTTCCTCTCTCTTGATGCCTCTGTTAAAAAAAAATTTGAAAGTCTCATTTCGTATTTGATCTTAAATTTTTTAAATTTGAAATTGCTATTTCTCTAATTCATTTTTCTCCTTCTCATGGGTTTTTTTCCCATTTCTCTCTCTCTCTAAAATTTATTTTCTCTCTCTCTAAATTATTTTAAGATAAAATATAATATATTTAGGAATCTATATATTAAAAATCAATTCAAAAAATGGAAAAAAAAAAAAATCTTTCTTTTCTCTCTCATTTTTCCTTTCCTTGCTCTCCTTTCTCTCTCATATTTATCTTCATCTTTCTATTTTAATTCTTCTCTAAATCATTTTCTTTTCTATTTTTTATTTCACTCAAAAATTTCAAAAACAAAATTTCTCTATCTAAATTGCTCTCATCTTTTTGTAAAGAAAATTAAAAACTTTCTCCTAAATAAATTTTATTGCTGCCTCTCTTTTTAAAAACTCAAATTCTTTTCCTTGCTTTTCTCGTTGCTTTTCTCTTAAACCCTCTCTCGTTTCTTCTGATTCTTTATCTTTTTCTATAATTGCTTTATTTCTTTTTCTCTCATTGTTGAATCCTCAATTGTTCTCCTTTATTCTCTCTCATTCGTTTTTCTCTCTTTCTCTCATGACATCTTTAAATCTTTCTTTGCTAATAGTAAGAGGATCTTTCACCCTCATTGCTTCAAAAAATCTGAATTTTTTATCTATTCTCTCACTTTGTTTGAAAAAATTGTGAAATCTTTCGTTAGTGAACAATTCTCCAATAAACATTTGAAAAAAAATTAAATATTGATCTGTTTTCTTTTTTTTTTCTTAAAATTGGTAGTTTTTTCATTTTGCTGTCATACAAAAAAAAAAAAAAAAGTTGAAACTGCGTCATAATGCCTGCGATATTTTCAAAATCAATCAATAGAAATTTTTTTTTACTTTTTTTCTAAATAAAAAAATTTTGTGATTCTTTTCTAAACAAGTAAATGAATCCAGCAAAAATAAAACGAATGTTTTTATTTCTTTTTCGGAAAGTTTTTTAATGGCCATTTGTATTTTTTATCGATCGTTTATAGAACGCGAATATGTCTAGGGAATAGAAATTAACTTTGCACACACACACACAAACACACACACACACACACACATAGTATACACACATATATATATATATATATATATATATATATACACGTTTTTAATCACATTTTTTTTGTATCTAACTTGATTTCTATTTTCGATCAAAGGTAAATTTATATAAGAAATAAAATTTTTATTAACATATATGCATCCATTTTCAAATAGATAGATAATAGATTTTCCTTTTAGATAGATAGATAGATAATAGATAGATAGATATTTTTTGGGAAAAGATTTTGATATATATTATAGATAGATAGATAGATAATAGATAGATAGATAGATAGATAGAAACAGATTGAGATAGATAGATAGATAGATAGATAGATAAATAGATAGATAGATAAAAAAAAGAAATAAAAAAAAAAAAGAAAGAAAGAAAAGAAAGAAAAAAAAAAGAAACAGACTGGGATAGAACATAAAATAGATAGATTCTGATTTAAATCCAATAAAGTCTGATGGTCAATACTAACAAACGACTTCGTGGAATGGATAACGAAGTACTAACTGTGTGCACTGGGTCATTTTTTCATTGGAAAAAACAAAAAAAATTAATAACCTGATTATTCGTTTTGTTAAATTTCAAATTTTTAACAAGAGTTTAGGTGATCATGGAAATCCCATCTTCCTTTATAATTAATTTTTGCAAAAGGGTCATATGTTTTGCAACTTTGAAAATGTTCTATTTCAATTTTTATTTAATATAATGTAAACATTTCAGTAGAAAAGATTTTGTCCCCGTCATCAATTTTGATTGATACTTTTTGATTTTCTGATTTGTCAACTTGCTCTTCTATGTTTGGCTGCCACCTTAGATCAATATGGCCGAAGCTCTCAAGCAATAAAGCCCTGTTCAATTGACAATATTGAGATCCATTTAATGCATTGGAACGATTGATAATTTTGCCTTTTTGATTTTAAAGCGCGTTAAAATCCCCATATATTATTATTTTCGTTATAGTATACACAAAATATTTAAAATAATATCGCTGAATGTTAAAGATAAGATATAAAATTAACATTTCATTTTTTAAAAAGAAGTTTTAGTCCTGATATCCCCCTTGTAATGGCGTTCTTTTTGTTTTCACAACATTGTTTTTTTTCAACCGTTTTAAATTTTCATATAATTTTCAAATACATCACCAGCTTTAAAGCAAATAAATTGAAACAAAATGAATAATTGCGTTATTATTTAGTTTGTTTTTTTTTTAAAAGAAAATGAATTATGACCCAAATTTTAAATTTGGGTTTTAAAATGTCCATTCATGAAGTCGTTTCTTGCAATATAATTCATCTCGATTTAAACTTTGAATTTTGATTAATCAAAAATTTTACGGAAAATTCTAATAGATAGATTAACAAAATAATAGATAGATAGATAAAAAAATAGATTGTTAATATGAACAGAATCAGATAGATAGATATCCTTGTGCAAATTAATTGAAACAAAACGAATAATTCCGTTATTTATTTTTTTTTCATATTTTTCCAATGAAACATGACCCAGTGCAAATGTTACTACTTCGTATGTCCATTCCATGAAGTCGATTCCTTGCAGATTGACCACAGATTCTCGATTGGATTTAAATCAGGAGAAATTTTGGGCCAGTCTATAGTACTTTGATTTGTTCACTGGTAAGGCTTGCCAGTGTGTTCGTGCAGCGTTACAATTTTTGTACGTTTCCTTGGAGTAACGTCCATCGAAGACAATGGTCGTAGGACAACTAATCAACAGTCGAGACAATAGTGTCTGGACGTGATGAAAATCTGATGCAATCATGGATGACACAATATTTTTCATGGCTAAACAAATTCCATCATACACCCTGAAAATACATTCATATTACTGCACACCACTGCAAATGAGTTAATCTGGGGAAAAATAGAAATCGATTACACCTGTCACTCCAGTGAGTTTAGAAAAGACCGTATGGTGAAAGAAAGAAAACTAAAGCAGTTGTTTTAATTAATTTGCACAAGCGTGTATGTACACACACATACAGATACAAATTTGCGTAAATAATCGTACACAAACACATATACGAAATATTACCCTATTTGGAAATAATTATATTTGGTCGTTTTTAAAGTGAAACAATTTGAAACTTCCTTTAGAGTGATTTGAAAGTCTTCAGCTCATTTGCCCGAGGAAATCTAGAAAAGCTGCTTATAATTCATAAATATTTTCAAATGCTTAAAGTTTGAATTCGGTAACAAGTGTTGTATCTAAAATGTCCTAAATAATAAGTAAATGAAATATTATGTTTCAAATTAAATTTCTTTAAAATGCATCCTGTAAACTTTGTAGATGCCAATAAATTAAGTCCTTGTTCATACAAGTTTATAAAATAAAGATTGTGAGAGATTTTTTTTTTGTTTATACGTTTTATTTTTTTATTTTTTTATAGATACAAATATTTAAAGTAAATGCAGTACGATGTTTATAATAAATTTAAATTTATGACGGTTCCGTGTAGGATACAGGTTCGATTCCTGTCGGAGGACGCAAATTTTTACGAATATAGAAGAATATTGAGTTCGGTAAATCAAGAATTTTTACTAGTTTATTATAAACAGGCATTTACTTAAATATTTGTATCTATAAAAAAAAAAACAACTTATAAACATAAAAAAATGTCTCAAAATAATTGTCGGACTTTGTCCATTTCATAAAGGTTGACTTCATTTGTTTACATTTGGATACGCATCGAGCAGATATGAATGTACGAGAGAAAATCATGGAGACACATAGTTTTAAAAATAGTAAAATCGACCTCAGATCTGAACCGAAACGTCCATTTTAAAATAAAAAATATTTTATAAAATTCGTAATTAAATTTTGAAATTTTTATATTCTCGAAAAAAAAAATCCATCACATTCTAAAAAAGCCACATATTTTAAGTCTTGTGCATGCATTATATCGTCAACTCTTATTTGCCCGTGACCTAATCGAAAGCAGCCGACACAAATAACAGAAGCTTCTATGTTAAATGCAGAGAAAGTGATTTTTTAATAACAAAACTATGGCTACGTCTTTGAACACAGTAAAAAAAATAAACAGTCCTTTGTTAAAAGAAAGCCATGATTAAATTTATTAAATATATATATATTTTTTGACCCAAATAAAATTTATTTATAGCTTTCTTGTCAATTTTCAGTTTTCTTGCGACAGGTCTCAGCACCTAACTATAGAGTAAAAGAAAACATGTATATAATTCCTAGACATTTATATTCATTGATGACAAAATGATTTCTTAATTGAAATGCAAACAATAAGAAACGAGTAATTAAAAAATTTCTTGAAAATTCCAGGTCATAAAATGGGAAATGAAAACTTTGGAATTTGAAAAATGGAAATAAAGATAATCAAATATGAAAAAAAGTGTATACCTGTGTTCTTGATTAGTGTCGACTATTTATTATGTTTCGTTTCCATTCTTACTATTTGCTATGAAATCTTCGGCTTTGTTTTGGCACACATATTCTTCAACATTTTTCTACCAGTCAATAGGAGACAAACATGGCACAATAGATAGTAAAAAATTGAGGAATCAAATTTTGATTTAGAATTCCAGTTGAATCCGTTATATTCATTTAAATTGAAAAAATACATTAAAAAAAGGCAAAAGCATGTCTATATAAATAAAAGCAGGATAGGTCTTATAGCCTAAACAAAAAAAGGAGATCTGTTCTGAATTGATAACCTCAGATTTATAATAATAAATCAAGCCACACCGACCCGCAATTGATCAATTCATTTTGAAGTTTTATACCCCTGAAGGTGTGACAAATGTGGAACATTTTTCCTCTAAGGTGTCAGAAAGATCTGGATCTGTTTCAATGAGTTTTCATGTTAATGGGACAATTTTTTTTTCCAGTCAGTAGTCACATGCGATTCATTCATTTAAAAGATAAAAAGCAAAATCAAAACAAGAAGCCGAAAATACGAGAAATAATCTGAACAAGAATCAAACAGAAAAAAGTCGAGTTCTTCAGAAAGTTTGCCATTTAGTGTTTAATGTGATGTTTTTGTCTTTTCTCTCAGATCTCTCTATATATATATATATATATATATATATATATATATATATATATATAGGGCCATAATATAAGGAATTAAAACAACAAAGATATAAATATGTTTTATTATTAAAAATTAATGCATGATTAGCAATGATTTTTTTACCGAATTTTTTAAATCCATATGCATAAATATTATACACCTTTTAAAAAAATTTACAAAATAGTTTTTTTTAAATAAAGATTAAATGAAACAAAGGAAATAAGATACTGGACAAAAGTTAAGGAACGATCTTGTTAATACTTGATTGTGAAAAAATATCAACAAAATTTAATATTTGGTAAACATCCCTTATCACTAATGACTTTCTGCATCGTCAACCACATGATCTAATTAATTGGAATTATAAAAAATCAGGAGTAATTCCCTCCCATTCGTCTTTTCAATAACTCCCATATGGTGATCCTGGTTTTTCGGGGATTTTTTCTGAGCCCTTTCTCTAATTATCTTTCAAACATTTTCTATTGGAAAAAGGTCAGGGGTTCTTGGGCTGTCAAATACTTCATTAGGGCGATTTCTTCAAAAATAAAGTCATAAAATTAAAAGCCTTGTGGCAAGGTGCATTGTCCTGCATGAAAATAGGAGATTCATAAAGATTATGGTGCAATCTTGGTACCACATGCTGCTGAAGAAAATTTGTTAAATCTCAGCATTGATATTGCCAAATTTACGCGGATGATAGGGCCAAAATTGCAGATGAAATCATTCCCCACATAAAACACTGCCGCCACCAAACTTAACGGTTTCTTGACACCTTGAGAAAACATGTTTCACCTGTTCTTCGTAATTTTTTAAATTTGGACTCATCACTGATTTTGAACCGTAATCCCATTGTACATTCTTCCAAAAAACATGTTCTCTCGCATACTACAAGAAGGCGTGTCCTTTGGTTTCATTTTTGAAATGATAGGCTTCGAAGCTGGAATACGGGCATGCAATTCTGCATTTTTTAATGGAAGCGACCGTTTTCCTTGAGATCTTATTATCTGTCTCTTCATGAAAAAATTCACGGGCAATTGATGTAGCAGTAGATAAATTTTTTTTTTTTAGATATTCTAACAATTCTTCGATCTTCTCTTTGCGAATTTTTTGGGGTCTGTCATTTTTGGTTTTGCATCTAACGTTTTAAATTTTATACCTGCTAATTACACGATGAACATCACTTTTAGTAATTTATGAACAATAGCAGAAATTTCAAAATTATTTTTTTTTTGATAGCGATAATGAGTTTTTTATTTCAAAAGAGAGCGTTTTGCGTGTAGAATTTGCCATATTGTTTAAAAGTGCAATAAAATCCTAATGATAAATGAACTTTTTTTATTTCAAAAATTTTTCATCGAGTTTTTTTTTAACAATGAAAGTTTATACAAATTATTAACATCATTCCTTAACTTTTGTCCATTAGCTTATTTTTCCTTTGTTCCATTTCATCTTTATTTTAAAAAACTATTATGTAAATTTTTGTATTAAATTATAATATTTAAACATTACAATTTTAATATTTATTTGTGTAAAATTTCATATTTTCAAATTACTTTTTTTGCAATAACATATTTATGTGTCTTTAATTTCATATTATATTATATGATATTTACTATATATATATATATATATATATATATATATATATATATTTTTTTTTTTTTTTATATTGTCTTTTGTCTTGTTTTGTTGTTTTATCAATATTTCTGATATTAATTGTATGAATCTGTTGTCTGAGTTTTGTATCCAATTAACCGCCTTTTTTTTTATTTTTTGGTATATTTGGTTAAATATTTATATGTTTATGACAAAGAACTTGAATGTTCCGTTCTTTAGTTAATTTTTAGACCAATGTCAGGTATTTTGACGATCCGCTCGAGTGGCTCGTGTAATCTCAGTATAAATATTGGGTTAAAGAAACTCGGAAAGTTCCATAACGGAAATGAAGGAATCATGTGGCGCTGACAATAATCAAATTTGATTTATTACCTTTTCGTCATCAAGGCCCGTTGGAACAGTTGGTATGACGTTGAACCTGATAACGTAAGATAAACAGATTTATCGATTTTGGATGCGCAGAATTGAGTTTCAAATATTGGACGAAATGGTCGTCAATCTTTTGCATACTGTTGAGCTTGCTTTAGACCCAATTAATGCAAATTAATTATTTTTTATGCTGCTGCTTTTCTTTAATATGACATCTTTGATCCATCCCAAATCTAATGCCCATTTTTTCTCTGCTGCATGTAAAGCTTTTGGTTATTATATATATAAAAAAACTGAAATAGGCATAAAACCAAATATTGTCCTATTGAAGCAATTCTGTGGTGAGAAATTAAAAACCACCAGTCTACAAATTTCCAAAGAGACCATTGAAAATAGAATACAAAGCCCTGAACAACAATGAAAAGTATTTTCATATATCTTACTTTTATATAAATATCAATTACAGTGGAACTTTAGATGATGAAATCATGCATCGGATTGCTAAGGCTACCAGTGCTTTCGGTCAAACTTCGCCATCGCTTGTGGAATGAAAAGGGGTATTCGACTGGATACGAAAATTCGTGTTTACAGAGCTGTTGTTTTTGCCATCCTTTTGTATGGCTCAGAGTCATGGACTCCATACAGGTACCATATACGCCAGCTAGATGTTTTCCACAAAAGCTGTCTGCGTGCAATCTGTGGAGTTAACCTTCAAGATAGGACATCTAACGTAGACCTGTTTAACAGGTGTAATATTGGAGGAATCGAAATTTTCGTCATACAGTCTCAGTTACGGTGGACTGGTCTTGTCTTGAGAATGTCTGATGACAGGATACCCAAGATCCTAATGTACAGCCAGTTAGATCAGGGCTACAGGAATGTAGGACCCCCATGGTTAAGATACAAAGACAAGCTGAAAAGCAACTTGTCACCTGTCAATATACCACATAACACCCTTGAGCGCTTAGCCTTGGAGCGGGTAGAATGGAGATCAACGTGTTTTTAGTGGACTCAGCAGTTTTCAATCTGCTTGTCTGAATCATCTTCAAGAAGCGAGAGCAAGATCTAAAAGGTCAGCCAATCTAACAGTGATCTCATCTCACAATCCTCACTCTTGCTCCATATGTGGCCTCCTTTGTAAATCACTAGCGGGTCTTAAATGCCACTTAAGATTATCGCAAAAATTTCATAACTGAATCAAATAAGCTGTCAGATCCTCATACGTCAAAACCGACGGGAGAGTCCATTATATATATATATATATATATATATATAAATATATATATATATATATATATATATGTGTGTGTGTGTGTGTGTGTGTGTGTGTGTTCTATCCCATTCTCTTTGTGTATATATTAATGCATTTGTATATTGCCTAAATTATTTGGAAACATGGAAGATTATACCAATCTTTGGAATCAGGAGAAACAATCTTGAAAATCATCCTACGAAATTTTGATTGGATGGTCTTGTTCAATATATGTATGTGAAAAAGAACATTAGGGATAGAGATCAGATGGAGAAGGAGTCCAGCTTAGCCTGGTACAAAATATAAGAAATTGAGAAGAATTTTAAATTTTTGGGGACAGTTTTATGTTTGACCTTCGAAACATAAATATATATATATATATATATATATATATATATATATATATATATATATATATATATATATGAAATAAAAAAATGCAAAAAATCTATCAGCCACTAATGATTGAAAAGTTTGACGTATGTAAATCGAAACGATAAAATTTCATCAATCTTTTGAGATATTCTGCCTTAGCCATTTAAAGCCCAAAATATATCACGTGACTATTACACATAAATGATTCATTGAGATTTCCACGGTCATCAAAGGGAAATGATCTTTGGCCTTGCAAACTGCAATCTATTAAGCTTTGCTGCGCCTGGCGCATGGTTACATACGATAAAGAAAAAAAAATTAAATGTAAAATGGGATCCCATATACATATAAATATAGAAATATACGTTGTTTTATGCACATATATATTGCTGATATGTAAATAGATATTACAGAATTTACAAGTATATGAATGCACTAATAGACTACATTGAGTGAGAATATCTCTTTTCTCTTGAAAACAAAATTTCAAATTCTGGCTTTTAATCGACACGCAGAAGGTGGGAAGAATATACAACTACATAAGTCATAAAATAGATAGATAGATAGATAGATAGATAGATAGATAGAATAGATAGATTTAGATAGATTTATATTCTTTTTAAAATATTCATAATAGATAGATAGATAGATAGATAGATAAAGATAGATAGATAGATTTAAATAAACATCGATAGATAGATAGATAGATAGATAGATAGATAGATAGATAGATAGATATGAATATACTAAGATTAGAAAGAAAAAAAGAAAGAAAGAAAACAAAAATACGAATAGATAGATAGATAGATAGATAGATAGATTTAAATAAGCATCGATAGATAGATAGATTTAAATAGACATAGATAGATAGATAGATAGATAGATAGATAGATAGATAGATAGATAGATGATAGAAGGATTTAAACATGCAGACTCAACTGAATAGATAGATAGATAGATAGATAGATAGATAGATAGATAGATAGATTACACTGTAACAGTAGCTTTCTGGTTATGTTATTCAATTTCCATGAGAAGAGTTAAAATCGCACATGTTACACAATACAAGATTGTTTTCTTTTTTAATTTATATAAGTGAAATTGTGCTTTATTCATTTTTAGTTCAGAAAGATTTTAGATGAGTTCAGCGTGATCAATTATTTATGGGCTACCATCGCAATAAACAATCCACTTAACATGCGATTATCCGATCCGAGCAAGGGCGAGCCGTATTTGTTTCTGTCGTAAAGCTGGGTCAGGCAGATGTAATGAAGGGCAGATAACTCGCCTTTGTGCTTTCTCCCATCTGATAGATTAGCATTGTCACTCACTTAGGAAGCGAGACCAGCGTCCCATTTACTTTCCTGTCTCTTGCCTAAAAGCTGTCAAAGGTCATTAAGAAAAATCACTAGCATCGTTCTCTATTTACGCAGAGTTAAGTTTACACACTGGGGCAATTCCAAGATAAAAGGTCTGTCTTGTTCTGACCTTCCAGAGCAAAGAGTCTTTCTCATTCAAGTCCAAAATTAAAAATACTGCCTTTTTATATGAAGCCCGCAGATTTTAGAAAAGCTGCTTAATCGGAGACATGGACAAAAGACCCAACACAAAATACAAATAAAATTCATTTACATTATTCGGACTATTGTCCTCATCTTTGTCGTCATATTTATTATATCGTTTCAGCCGTTGTACACTTCCGCCTTCTTCAGGTGGTTGGAATGTCGAACTGAACCCTTATATTTATTACAACGTTTCGGCCGTTGTACGCTCCGGCCTTCTTCAGATGGTTGGAATGATGAATTGAATTTTTATATTTTAATTACAACGTTTCGTTTTGTACGCAGAACCGGCCTTCTTCAGGTGGTTGGAATGTCGAACTGAACACTTATATTTATTACAACGTTTCGGCCGTTGTACGCTCCGGCCTTCTTCAGGTGGTTGGAATGTCGAACTGAACTCTTATATTTATTACAACGTTTCGGCCGTTGTACACTTCCGCCTTCTTCAGGTGGTTGGAATGTCGAACTGAACCCTTATGTAATAAATATGGCGACAAAAGACGAGGACAATAGTCCGAATAATGTACATAATACCTCATCACAGAAATATAGACAAATAAAATTCAGTTCAGTTAGCCAGTCAGTTATGTGCCATGCATGACTAACGAGGCAGATTCTTCTCCGTAGTAGGCTGCTATTTCTTTCTGCAATAGACCAGCTGCCATGAAAGGCTATAGAAACCGGTCTGTCCTTCTGTTTATCTATATCTGGGAGATTTATTCGCAAAGAATAATCGATGTAAATTAACGCCAATAATTGAAGAGAAATAGGTTTTATTAAAGTGTTTTATAGAACTGATAATACCCAACAGATAAGGCAATTACTTAAAGAAACACAATTTAAAAAAATAAAATACTTGCAAAGAGTTTCAAGATGGAATAGCAGCAAAACGTGCTTTAATCTTTATTTTGCAATTATAATTTATGTTTTCTAAAGACGGGATTTATATGTATTCCTCAGAAATCAAGCATTGAAAACAAGCCACGTCAAAATTAATATTCAAATGGAATTCATTTATATGAGGGGTGTGAAAAAGACACTATCACGTTCGTAATTTTTTTTTTGTTCGTCTGAATACATAGTAGAAAATCTGTTTTTATTTTTAACTAAACAGAAGGATAGAAATTTTTGCAAAAGCCTAATCGTCCTGGATAAGACGATAAACTACATCTGCATCCTGGGTGTGAATATAAATTACATCCGCGTCCTGGGTGTGAATATAAACTACATCCGCGTCCTGGGTGTGAATATAAACTACATCCGCGTCCTGGATGTGAATATAAACTACATCCGCGTCTTGGGTGTGAATATAAACTACATCCGCGTCCTGGGTGTGAATATAAACTACATCCAACAGCAAGGTGTCTGATCAGGTTTTGAGGAGCGTGAAACCAGCTCTTAATTGCTGGTGTTCTCAGGTACACCTTGACCCAGGGTGGTAGCGCCTGTTAGGGTCCCAATTATGGGAAAATAGTTACCCCCCCCCAAAAAAAAGGGGTCAAAATTCTATGAAAGAATAAAAATATTTTTTACTAGCGGCAATATATTTTTGAAAAAAAAAATGTTACCAGCAATAAAATTTTGAAAAAATATTAACAATAAAATACTGGGGTCAAAACACTATGAAAGTGTAAAAATAGGTTTTAATACCAGCAATAATTTTTTTTTTTTTTTTGTTATTACCAGCAATACATTTCCAAAGAAAAGATTTTACCAGTAATATATTTTAGAGAAAAAAATCAGCAATACATTTTTGAAGAAAAAATATTTCCAGTAATACATTTTTGAAGAAAAAAAAATATTTCCAGTAATATATTTTTGAAGGAATAAAATTATACCAGCTATACATTTTTTAAAAATATTACCAACAATATATTTTTGAAAAAAATATATTAGCAGCAATAAAAATGTTGTCGGCATTAAATAAGCCATTGAGGTTGATATGCCGTAAAACAAACCAAACCAAACCAAACCAAAAACCTAATATTTAGCAAGACAGCACTTATCTTTTTAGAAATAACATTGAAACATATTTTTGTTTCCTAAGTATGATATTATAAACAGGTAAGAATATAAAAGAGAGTTCGAAAAAGTCTGACCAAAATTTCAATATATTTACCTCGGCCAATAATTTCAGCGCCGAAAATTTCTTTTGTAGCTAAAAAGGAACGGAATGACTTTCACCAAAAAAGATTTTCTTTCACACAGATGCTGAAAATTAAGGATAGTTACTATTTACATTTAAGCCATTTGGTTTTTCCTATTTTATTAAAATCTATGAATAACTCAGCATTCCATTTTGAAGTTGCAATGAAAATAAAGTAGAATTTCCGTTGCAAATTTTTTTTGTTAACGATGCCTAGCTTTGTAAATCCCAAGTGAGAATACAGACCTCCAAACCCAGAGATACACAGTTTTCCTGCCTGTATCTTCGATTGAATAAAGAAAGATACAGCTATTTTAGGCTAGCTTTTAAAGTAACCTCTTGACGCCCATTAGATTGGGAGGCCAGTTGATCTAGACGCGGACGTGACCCTTTAGCTGTACGACTGTGGAGTCATTTTATATGTTAGCCTTTGTTTTTAGGGCCTTAAATAAATGAAAATGCAATGAGTCACTTTACTTGATTCTGGAAATGAGAGACAATGTTGGTGGGGGAGGAGGCGATATCCCAAATCTTCCAGAGTCGAAGAGTTCTTGAAATATAGAGTCATGACCTTGTAAAATGTGCGACTGATTCTGATGCAACTCATCCTATTTCACTATATATATATAGCACTCATACATTATCTATATCCTTGTTCCTTTATCTCTCTCTCTAGATCTCTCTCTCTCTCTAAATAGATAGATAGATATGAACAGAATTGAATAGATAAATAGATAGATATGAACAGAATTGAATAGATAGATAGATAGATAGATAGATAGATATAGATAGATAGATAGATAGATAGATAGATATGAACAGAATGAGATAGATAGATAGATAGATAGATAGATAGATAGATATGAACAGACTGGGATAGATAGAGAGAAAGAGAGAGAGATGAACAGACAGGGATAGATAGCTATGAACAGACTAGAATAGATAGATAGATAGATAGATAGATAGATAGATAGATAGATAGATAGAACAAAGAGAAAAAAATGGATGGCAGATAAATAAAAATATATAACTTAAACAAAATTTTATTTTAAATCGCAAATAAGATTTGAATGTTCATTCTTTTTGTAATTAAAACCTGATTGGCACAAGTGATTGATTTCTCCAGACAAACCCATATTCCGATTGATTACTTAATTGATTGATTTCTTTGTTCCTGGTCCCTTCGTATTTCAGAAGGTAATTGAATAAAACTTCAATTTAAACAATGTTAAAATTAAAGTGCTTAAAAAAGGAATAAAATTATTCTCCAAT